GACATACATACAGGGACATACATACAGGGACATACAGGGACATACATTCAGGGACATACATACAGGGACATACATACAGGGACATACAGGGACATACATACAGGGACATACATACAGGGACATACATACAGGGACATACATACAGGGACATACAGGGACATACATACAGGGACATACATACAGGAACACACCATCTTCTCTTACAGAATGAAATTCTCCCAGCTGCTGAGATCTTGTTAAATGCGGAGACCTTGAAGGGTTTGCAGGTACGTGTGTCGTGTGTGACTTGTGGGATGGTGTGTCTTGTGTGACTTGTGGGTAGGTGTGTCGTGTGTCATGTGACTTGTGGGTAGGTGTGTCTTGTGTGACTTGTAGGTAGGTGTGTCGTGTGTCATATGACTTTTGGGTAGGTGTGTCTTGTGTGACTTGTGGGTAGGTGTGTCTTGTGTGACTTGTGGGTAGGTGTGTTGTGTGTGACTTGTGGGTAGGTGTGTCGTGTGACTTGTGTGTAGGTGTGTTGTGTGTCGTGTGACTTGTTGGTAGGTGTGTCTTGTGTGTCGTGTGACTTGTGGGTAGGTGTGTCTTGTGTGTCGTGTGACTTGTGGGTAGGTGTGTCATGTGACTTGTGGGTAGGTGTGTCTTGTGTGACTTGTGGGTAGATGTGTCTTGTGACTTGTGGCTTAACACAAAACTTGACACAGACACAAACTGTACACAAAACTTGACACAAACTGTACTCAAAACTTGACACAAACTGTAGACAGAACTGTACTCAAAACTTGACATAAACTGTAGACAGAACTGTACTCAAAACTTGACACAATGTGCACAAAACTTTACACAAACTGTACTCAAAACTTGACACAAACTATAGACAAAACTTGACACAAACTGTACACAAAACTTGACACAAACTTGACTCAAAACTTGACTCAAAACTTGACACAAACTTGACTCAAAACTTGACACAAACTGTACACAAAACTTGACACAAACTGTACACAAAACTTGACACAAACTTTAGAAAAAATTTAACACAAAACTTGACACAAAACTTGACACAAACTGGACGCAAATCTTGACACAAAACTTTACACAAACTTTTGGCGAGGTCATATCAGAGATACATGTTAAATTTTAGGGGTCCTGCCTCATAAATATATCTGGTGTTGCGAGGGGCATTCCACATAGACCATTCCGCCATTGCATGTTGTTCACTTCCTGTTTCCCTGCTGGAAGTGACCTCATGACTTACTGTCCTCAGGTCAGAGGTCATCGGTTCGAGCAGTTGTCCCGCGTGACGGCAGTGCTGAGAGACGCCGCCAACACACACCGCATTGTGAGTGCAGCCTGGAGTCTGGCGCGTGACAGAGAGTTTTGGCGCGTGAGAGAGTTTTGACGCAGAATGTGGCACATGAGAGAGAGTTTTGGCGTAGAATGTGGCACATGAGAGAGAGTTTTGGCATAGAATGTGGCACATGAGAGAGTTTTGGCGCAGAATGTGGCACATGAGAGAGAGTTTTGGCGTGTGAGAGAGAGTTTTGGGGCAGAATGTGGCGCGTGAGAGAGAGTTTTGGGGCAGAATGTGGCACATGAGAGAGAGAGTTTTGGCGCAGAAGGTGGCACATGACAGAGAGTTTTGGCGTGTGAGAGAGAGTTTTGGCGCAGAATGTGGCGCTTGAGAGAGAGTTTTAGGGCAGAATGTGGCACATGAGAGAGAGTTTTGGCGTGTGAGAGAGAGTTTTGGGGCAGAATGTGGCGCGTGAGAGAGAGTTTTGGGGCAGAATGTGGCACATGAGAGAGAGAGTTTTGGCGCAGAAGGTGGCACATGACAGAGAGTTTTGGCGTGTGAGAGAGAGTTTTGGCGCAGAATGTGGCGCGTGAGAGAGAGAGTTTTGGCGCAGAATGTGGCTCATGAGAGAGAGAGTTTTGGCG